TCTATAGGGTGAGAGTGAACGATAGCAAACTCTTCTACATATTGCAATTAGAAAATATGGATTAACCTTTTGGTTAATAATAAAGGAGAAAATGATACTAATGGGAAGAAATTCTATGTATTTGATCACACACATACACAGATAGATGAATATGAAACCATGAGTTTTGCTATTTGAAAGAATAAAGAGATGTGTTATATGCACGTTCCTCATAGACATTATACAACAGATAGTGTTAAAAAGCTCCAAACCATTAGTAGGAAAACTTTCGTGAACAAGAGCTATATCATGCCTTCATTTTATTATTTTTATGACATAAATATTTTAGCATAATGAGGCACTGAAGATAATGCACAACACTAAAAGGACTGATAATGTAGATGAAGAAAAGTTATTTAGTCACTGAACAAATGAATGACAATAGTAAAAACTAGAGTTCTTAGTTCAATTTTCGGTAAAAACAAGATAAATTTCATTCACTTGCTAAAGATCGTCTTAACTCTATAAAGTATATGATAAAAAAAAATCAGGCAGCTCACGGGCTTCTATTCCGAACCACATTTGATAACTTTCTAAGTTACAGGGTTTAATGGCCTTTAGAGCCCTGGCAAAGGAGTTGCATTAGATCAACATCTATCAGTCTTATACCTTTATCTTCTACATTACAACTCCATGCTATAAGGTGACTACGTCTTCGCTGTTTCCATGCAAACCCAGAATCAGCAAACAATACATAGTATACAAAAAAAAACAGGATGATATTCTTGAAAAATATCTATGGACCTGAAGCCAGCGCTTCAAAACTGTAACACCAATCAAATTATCATCATTTTTGCCGTATACGCACTTCTCAACCACCACATGACTTAGTTATCATTATCGATAGATGTTAGAACTCATTTGAAGACGACATATAAGGTTTCTGAACACCCTCTTCACTGAAGGCCAGGGTTTGATAAATAAGAGCATAACTATTTTAAATGACATATTACATACCCGAGCTTTTACTGTCACATTAATATGGATGAAATTGGCATAAGCTCTAGATTAAATTATCTCATTTGCTACGCCATCACCAGTACTTATGTAGCTACCAAGATATATAAAATTGTGAACCATTTCCAAAAAATCACCACAAAGATTGTATGTAGACATAAGCTTCTAGGTAATTCCTTTTCTGATACATTCGCGTGAGACTGGAGGTCCTGGGTTCAAGTCCCGCATGTGGGATCGTAAATGCTCACTATTGAGGAGTCCCATACTAGGACGAAACGTCTGTCTAGTGCTTCCAAGTTTTCGATGGTTATCTAGCTTAAATCGACCCATGAATTCAACTATTAAAATTTCTACAACCTCCATAAACCCTTATTCTGATCATTTTAATAAGATTAACATAATTTATTTAAGTACTAATATTCTACCAGTTCATACATATAGATATATATTGACTGCTTTTAGATACACTAAAGTCGGAAAGACGAAGAAGTCGTGAATACTCAAAGTATTTTAAAACTAGGTAAGTAAATTTATGTCATTAAGAGAATGTCAAATTGAACAAACCACAGATCTTATGAAGAAATAATTAATCAGTTATTTATTTAAACACATAAACATAGGTACAAGAAGGCACCAAAAAGACATGCGCCACATAAATCATTCGATCTGTGTGAGGGTTGGTACACTGCCTGGGTGCCCAAACCGAAGCAGGTGGTTTTCTTCAGAGGCCACTCCCCGAGCCATTGACTGAGAGGTTTGATCCACAAGGCAATGGAGCAACGTCAAGAGATGCAATCCCATTGTAGCCGGTGACCAATAATTGATTCATACGTTATTTGTTCCCTTAGGATCCTGGAGTCCATGTGCACGATTGGTTTTGAGTCCGAGTTTTCCAACTGCAGTAGGTGGACTATATGTGTCCACCAACCCGGTTAAAGCTCCGGATATTTGTTTTTTCGACGCTAAAGAGACCTTGAGAATGTCCACCTTACATATTACGGCTAAATAAGATTTATAAACCATTGTGAGGAACTAGGAATAATATTTACAGTTGGTAGTCAGGGTTAGGGTTAGGAATAAGATATAGGGTTTTCATCACAAACTGACATCAGCTATAATGCCAAAACTCTATATTGCTGAATGAATGAATGAACTTCGCGCCAAAATTTAAGACCTGTCATCGTAAATCTGATTGATTCGACTATAAATTATGGTCTCGCCGAACTATATTTTCCATGACTCGTTTCATTCTATGATCAGTATTGTTATGCCCCGATAAGCATAATGAATGGTAACTCTTGGGATCCATCTATGAACCAGTACTATACGTATAATTTTATCATATCATTGTTAAATAACTAAACTATTCATATTCATGTCCCTCTTATTATGAGCCTTATTTTGACCTATGAACTATTATTATACAATTTACCATTCTTCATATTTTATGGTACGATGTGGTCTGTTTGGTTGATATATGAACCCAGTATGCTTGAAATAAATGATTCATATAGCAGAGATTGAGATTGGTGTTTTGGACTTAACTGGTTAGGCTAGTCAGGAAGCAGGATCAACAAGGACTCTAGACTGCTCGCACGAGTTTTACGCGTCATTGATCCGATCAATAATTCACTGTTCTCTAATTGGCAGTATCGTTACGTTATACATTAACAGGGTACACAGGCCACAAATTATAACAAGTATTGATATTTTGATCATTTGCATTTTATTTTGTCCTACATTTTCTCTTGTACTTTTGCAAAATATTGCAATTTTCTATGATTCAACATAATGTGATAACGACTATAATAATCTATAATTTTCAACCAATAACCTTGAACTAACTTAGTTTTAGCGAATATTAAACTATAGATACGTTAGATAATTAGCAGTGAAACTAACGATAACCAAATTCTGATTGTCATGTCCTTTAACCTTAACCTCTTACAAGCATAATCCCATTTGAGCCAGCATCATACACTGGTTAAATGTCAGCTTATCTATGAATGAAGTATGATTTAGCTAGTTATCTCCAATACATGTTTACTTCCATTGATTCTCAACATCAACACAGGTCAATTTCTAGGAAAAAAAAGATGATCTAACTTGTAATTATACTAATACTATGTATGTATTCTTATTGTGTAATTGTTAAGTAACTAAACAACATATATTTATGGATAGTAGGTAGCAGTGGGATCTAGGACGCGCGTTTCGTTCTATTTGGGACTCGTCAGTTGGATATACCTGCATCTCAGAGTTGATGTTGACTCTGGGACTCGAACCCAGTACCGTTCGCTCCAAACGCCATCGCGTTATTCACTTAGTCACTGAGTTCTGATAGCCACCTGCTTGTGGAACAGGTTGAAGTTATATTTACCTGGTGTTGTTTATCTGTATCTCTCCATCTTTATTTGGGACTGAAATTGATTAGTCTCTTGATCGAGACTCAGTAGCTAAGTAGATAACGCGATGGCGTTTGAAGCGATTGGTACTGGGTTCGAGTCCCAGAGTGAACATCCACTCCGGGATGCAGGTGCAAACAGCTGATGAGTCCCAAATAGGACGAAACGTGCATCCTGGATTTCACTGCTAGCCACTATCCATCTTTGCTTATAAAGGTTGACTTAATGCAATATTAAAGCGGTTCGCACAGGATGCATGTATGCCCATAAGACACTGATCAATTGCAGTCCTAAATAACAATGGGAGGATACAAGTAAACAACACCAAGTGAATATATATATTTATATTCCTCTTATAATAAGCTCCTTATTGACCTATCGGTTACTGTTATATGATTTCCTATTCTCAAATTATTCTCAATCTATTAGTCACAGTTCCTCCAAATTACAGCCACTTTAGGCTAGATCTTGTATAAATGTTATTTTCCATTTTATGGTAAGATGTGGTCTGTTTGATTTGTATATAAACCCAGTATATTTGAAATACATGATTCGTATCGCGGAATTTGATATTGACATTCTGCACGTAATAGTCAGGGCTGGGCGGAAAAAGGACTAATCTTAAGTGTAGGCTGCCCGTACTGATGTATGCATCATTAATGTAATCGTATAAGTCAGTGTATCTAATTGGCGGTATTATCACGGGATATAATTAATTCAGGCATAAAGACTGTTATAACTTGGTGCCTGGTGTCCTATTAATATATGATGTAATGATACCACGAATTAGAGAACAGTGATTTGTCGACCGAACCAATGACTCGGAAACCCGTAAAACCAGTTCAGAGTCCTTATCGGTCCTTCTTCGTACCTAGCCCTGCCAGAACACTAATCTCAGCCTCTGCAATATCAATCATATATTTCAAACATACCGGGTTTATATACAAACCAAACAGACCACATCGCTCCACAAAATAGAAAAGTAACATTTTTACAAGATCTAGCCTAAAAATGGCTGTGATTATGGGAGACTGTAATTAATAGACTGCGTATAACTCAAGAATGGCAAATCGTTTAATAAAGGTCTATAGTTTCAATGGTTGAGATCATGAATCAGTTGAAGCTGGACCACCATGGAAAACCTGGAAGCACTAGACGGCAGTTTCGTCCTATTGTGGAACTCCTCAGCAATGCGCATCCACGACCTCGCTCCCTGCGAGATTTGAACCCAGGACCTACTAGTTTCACGCGCGAGCGCTTAACCACTAGACCACTGAGCGACCATCCAACGGTGTTAATATCTAACTTCAACTAATCCACGAAATTGAGCGACACATTCACCATTGTCTTCAGTGAGTTACTATCTCACAACAGTCTATAGGTCAAAATGAAGCTTATAATAAGAGGAATATGAATATTCATAGTTTAGTTACATAACAATTATACAATAAATAAATATATATATAGTATCAGTCCATAAATGGATCCCAACAGTTACCATTCATAATTCTCATCGGAATATATCAATGACATAACACTACTTTATACTTTTTCTTTACTTCAATAAATCATTCACTATTTTTTTTCCTTTAAATCAAGGAGATTAACCATGTTTGAATGTAATCTAGGAAAAATGAATGATCTAAATCGTCCAAGTCCATTAATTGAACAAACTAGTTGTGATGAAAATAGTTATACAACAAGTAATAATAATAATAATAATAATAATAATAATAATGATATTAACAAAAAATATCGACGTCAATCAGAACCAATTAAATCATTGAATTATTATTATTATCATCCATATTCTTATTCTAAAAATGATCCATTCAAAACTATTGAACAGATTCAACAAAGTTTAAAACAATTAAATGAGGGAAAATTGAATTCAAATAAAACAAGTCCAACTACTACTAATACTACTACTACTACTACTAATAATAATAATAATAGTAGTAGTAGTAGTAAGAAATCAAAATCTCTCATATTTAATATTGATAATAATAGTGATAATTGTAATAGTAATGGTGATAGTAATGATAGTACAAAAAGTATTTTATATGATGAAATCGATGAAAAGAATATATTTCATGAAATTCAAGCTATGGAACAAAGACAAAATATACCGATGCAACAATTAAAAGAATTATTATTATCATCCGTAAGTATGATTAGAATGTATATATATATATATATATAGATAGATCAGTATTTAGTCTTTTTTATACGTTGTTATTTCGTGGATTAACACTATTGGATGCTAATCGGCTCAGTGGTGTAGAGGTGAACCCTTTCGCACGCAAGACTGACAGGTCCTCGGTTCGAATCTCACGAGGCGGGATCGTGTTTGTACACTGTTGAGAAGTCCCACAACGGCCGTCCTGTGCATCCAGGTTTTCTATGATGGTCTAGCTTCAATTGAATCATGATCTCAATTATGTTGTTATTCGTTTGTTGGGTGAGTCTATAATTTATGGACGACCTTTGGGTGACGCTAGGCTGACCTTGAGACTGTTCATCTAATAACTAGGACTAAATGAGGGTCATAAACCTGTGTGAGGAATTCGAATTATGATTTACAGTTGATGACTAAGGTTAGGAATTAGATTTAAGGTTTTTCATCACGAACTGACATCAGTTATAATGTCAAAATAGTATTTAACCAAATGAGTGAATAAATTTCGCGTCAAAACCCGAGACCTGTTTTCTTATATCTGATTGGTTCATCCATAAACTATAATCTCGCCGTTTGATGAACTCGAAAAATAATGTGTACAGAGAAACAGGAATCCTTGACAAACTAAGAAATCTGTTTTGGGGGGACGTTATTTCATTTGATTCAAAGCTTATAAAACAGTAACATTTCTTTTTGTCCCTAGTCTATTCTACAGAACATAAGCTGTCGTTTAATGTATGATTTACTGCCATAGCCATTTTTGTTTCAAAGATATTGTACGTTAAACGTAATCTTTTGTACGCCGTTTTCTACTCTGATTCCCAGCTTCGGTCTGATTAGTTATCTATATATTCGTGTATCTTTTTACACTAATCTGAAATCGGCAAGTAGATTGGGATTGGGAATAAATCGTGTAGCGTCCTAGTTGACTTGTCTTCTCTCACTCGCATGCTTGTCAGCCAATCAGGCTATATACTATAGTTTTCATCTCTCTACCCAATTTATTTATTTTTATTTATTTTACCACAAAGATATTGGTACAAAGAGGCAGCAATTAGATATGAGTCACATAAGTCACTCGATTTGTGTGAGGGTTGGTACACTTTCCAGGTGCCCAAACCGAAGCGAGTGGTTTCCTTCAGAGACCACTCCCCGAGCTATTGACTGAAGGTTTGATCCACAAGGCAGTGGAGCAACGTCAAGAGATGCAATCCCATGATAGTCGGTGACCAATAATTGGTTCGTACGCCATTTGTTCACTTAGGATCCTGGAGCCCATATGCATGATTGGTTTTTGAGTCAGAGTTTTCCAACTCCGGTAAGTGGACTCCCCGTGTCCACCAAGCGGGTGAAAGCGCCGGACATTTGTTTTTCGTCCTCTCAATTTCGTAAACAACACCCTCGCTGTGAGAAGGCAGTGAGTAGGACTTCCCTGGCAGAGGCTATATAGGCGTGGCCATGTGAGAGCATTTGGAGAGGGAGAGCAGACTCTCCCCAGGTAGTTGGTGTCACTTCGAATTCACGCATACTAGTTTCAATGTTAAGCTAGTCAGCCTATCTCGTCAAGGTCTTAATCTAGGTTAGACAAGCTATCCTCTGCACAAAAATATTGGATACTACTGAATTGATAATCTCTGTATATAGTTACATGTTTTGACATTTAATATCAAACTCCGGATGAACTCTGTATAACATGAAGTTGATAAAATTCAACTTTATTTGTAACCACCTCATACTTCTTTACATTTCAGAAATCATTTATTTTAGTGATTATATGAAAAATATTATTATCTTTTTATTCTTTCAAGCGTGATGGAATGAAAGATTTTATGGCTTTTCTAGTGACAACTAATGGAATACATCTTGTTGATTTTTGGTTAGATTGTGAAGCCATTAAAATGATTTCATCTATGCAGAATTCAAGTTATGAAAGTATTAAATTAAAATTTACTTTATTACGGTAATTCATAAATCTGTTTTTTATTGAGATCATGAACTGATCAATGTTAGACAACTATTAAGAATCTGAAAGCACTAGATAGTTGCTTCATCCTAGTATGGAACTTCTCGACAGTGCGTTTTCACGATCCCGCATACAGAAATAGAACCCAGGACATTCGGTCTCGCGCGCGAACGTTTAACTTCCAGACCACTGAGCCGGTATTCAACGGTGTACATGTCTAACTTCAACCACTCCGTGATATTGCGCGACCATCTTTCATTGTCTGAGGTAGATACTGGTCTCTACCTGACATGGATTAGATTCACTGGTCACGGCTTCTCACTAGAACTTCGAGAATTACCTCCCGAAGCCAGTTACTAAGGAACACATGATATGTATTGGTATAGGTTTATGGAGATTGTTGACTTTTTATTGATACCATGAAGATCAGATCATTGAAATCAGTGCTTACAGATTTTCAATAGTCGTCTAACATTGATAGATCCATAATCTCAATCAAACCTAAACTTTATCCATAACCCTATACTGATAGTTTACGATTTATTTAAATGAAAGAGAAAAAAACCGTTTCAAAAATTCTATACAATCAGTTTCCTTGATAAATCTAAACGGTTGTAGAACGACAAGGTTTGCAGAGTACAATGAATCCATTCTATTTAATGGTCCTTTGATCAGTTGGAAACAGCCTGAAATTACAAAAACTACTATGGTTATAATTATAAACAAAGGTCTAACTTACTTTATTCGGTGAAGTTGAAATGAACGTTATCTTGTAAACGTTACATAACAGATACCTCTGCAAAATTGAGTAAAATAGATAGTTGGTTGGTTTTTTAATTGTTTTAAATGTATATCTGATATTGACTATATCTCTATTCTTTATCAAGTGAATAGTGATTGCATTTATGAAGGCTTTATTGTCTTTTAAGGATAGGTTACTCGAAAACTGATTAGAAAACCTGGTAGAAATCTTTTTTTCCTGCCGTTCGTGTTTACCTGCTGCCCTTTACTTACCAACTTGTTTACTCCTGTTACCCCCCATGGACGAGCATAAGCTGCCTAACAGGGTTCTCCAGGTTTATGTAAATTCATATATGAATTTGGAGGTGATATTGAAAAGAACCATCTGAAAATAGATGCCCAAAAATAATTATTCTGAAATCTAGAAAGGAATATCCTAAAAGTCATAGACAACCGATTGTTTTCAGGAAGCCTGTCACTATCTATATTTAATTTAGAGGAAATAAAAATTTCGGGAAGAATTAATGAACGAATCCGGATGTCACTGAGAAAAAGCTTTCCTAATGTTCAGTTTTTCTCACTATCTAACATTAGTTATTCGTTAAGCCAATCAAAAGTAGATCAATACGCTTCTGATGTTAGAGTTGTATTATTCATAAATAATAACTTTTCCATACTCATAAACCAGATAATGTCTTCAAATATTCTTATTCCCCAGAGGGAAATAAAGCACAGAGTGTAGTAATCCTATTCGTTATATAGGTATGTTATTGTTCACTGTAATCTATTAGTTAATAATATATTCCATTTGGTTACATTTTAGTGGCCCGGAATCTGATTCCAATTAGATCATATGAGTGTTATTGAAGTACACATGTCGTCTATCCTCCTATAAAATTATCGACTTAATTCGCATTAGTGTATAACGGAATTAAATAAGTCAAATACGAGAATGAAGTTTTGAATACGTATATTTTGTATACATTGATCTGGGCAGACAATCAGAGGGACGAAGGGAAGAGAAGAGAGCAAAGCAAAATGACACGCGGTGGAGGTGTATGAGCCAACTCCCACAGTCTAGATGAATTGGTTGAAATGCTGCAGTGGATTGTGCTCGGGTCGTGGCTTAACCGACATCTTGAACGCATATTGCGACTATGGGATATCCTGTGGCCATGCCTGTTCGAGGGTCGGCTTTTCATCTATCACGGTGCACGTTAAGTCGTGGATTGGGTGAGTGCCTGCCAGCGTGTGTACCTGCATATCAACGCGGGTTGCTGGTCAAATGCTCTGCCCTAATAATACGGGCCACCAAAACATTAATTATAAACAGTCTTCTAACCAGCTAGGAATTTAAGAAAAACTATCCACTATATCTGATTTGTTTAACAACTTTAAATACCAAGAGTTTTTGTTCAGGAGAGTTTACGTAATCAAATAAATGTATGAAATAGTCACATTTTAACAGCATATCACTTGTCACTAATATAATCTAAAATAAACATTTGTTGGTTGAATTCAGCGCTGTACTCCACTTAACTATTAAATGAACCACTTAATCGAATGGAAGTTAACAACTAGGCTTCCTGTATTCACTGTAAAAACTCTCAATTATAAACCATAGCTGATGAAAGGCATTCATAACTACTTAAATAAACTAAAATAACAACAAATTCTAAATAAGTAAAGATGGATTGTGGCTAGTACTGGAATCTAGGACGCGCGTTTCGTCAGCTGAATGTACCTGGGAAGATACAAGTAAACAACATCTAGTGAACACAGTCTATAGTTTGATTTAAATAATCCTTCATCATAGTTTTTAATGACTTTCTTTAGTGACCTTGAAAATCGATCAAAAGCATTTCGTTAATTTAGGAACTGCTCAATCTCATCTCTATATTGTATTCTTACCTAAATATAATTAAGATCTAAACTCACTTAGTATTATTTGTCTGTATCTTCCCATTGTTATTAAGGACTGTAATTGATCAGTCTCTTATTAGCATATGTGCATCCTGTACAAACTGTCTCAATATTGCCTTAAGTCACAAGCTTTATAAGCAAAGATGGAAAGTGGCTAGCAGTAGAATTCAGGATGCACGTTTCGTTCTACTTTGAACTCGTCAACTGAATGTACCTGAGAAGATAGATACAAGTAAACAATACTATGTGAACAAAATCTATCGTTTGATTTATATGTTCCTTCATTACAGTTTTTCTTTCTTGATATCTATTGTTTAGTGATCTTGAAGATCGTTACCTTCTTCAATTAACATCTAAAGCACGTGAAAAATTATTTACATCAATAAATACAATTTCTGATTATTTTCTAATAAATCGTCATGATAAAAATAATAATCCGAATGAATCTTATTTATATCAACTTGGTAATATGATGTTTGATTGTGTACAATATGATTGTTTACGTCGTTTAAGATATTATTGGTTACCAAGATGGTTATTACATTGGGAAAGAATAATCAATAATTGTCAATTTTTACCAAATCAATATGGTGGTTCTAATTTATTTTATATACCATCATATTGTTCATTAATTAGATCAAATCATACATTATCATCTAATGCATATACAGAAAATATATCAATAAATAGTTCTGATATTGAACAAGATAATGATCTTGATCTTATGGATCATTACAATCATCATAATGATCATGATTCTAATGGTCAATATGAAGAATATCAATCTAATGAAGTATTTAAAGATAATGATCCTTCTATAAATTGTCATAGTTCATTACAAACAACTGAAAAAACAATAAAGGTATCTAATGATGAAAAATCCTGGAATAAAGAAATCTATGATCTAATTATTAAAAATGCTTTAACAAAAAATGGTCTTATTCAATCAGATCATAATAGAGACATATTAAGAAATATGCCAAAACAACGTTTATTATCATATGCTCCATCATCTACATTGAACTCATCTCATAGAAATATAAAATTATCTCGAATGTCCAGTAGTACTACTACAACCAGTACTACCAGTACTACTCCAACTAAATATACATCAACTATACCATTCTTTAAACGATTAAATATATCATGGACAATACCCTATGATCCAAATGATGTGATTGGTTTAAAATTATATCCTGGTTTAAAATGGGAACATTTAAAAAAAATCAATAATTGTCAATTATTATCCTCCTCCTCGATACAAATGGATATAATCAATAATTCAATCAATTATAATCATTCCATTATAATTGATTCATTGATATCTACATTAGGAATAAATAATAATGATCATCCTAATGAGAATCATAAAATGACATCATCATTTAAACAAGATTTCATCAATAGGAAAAAGATGGAATCTTCTTCAAATAGAGGAAAACTAACTTCATTCATTCATTTAAAAGAAAAGAAAAGTTCAATGGAAGAAATATTAAAGAAAAAATGTTTAATAGCAATACATGGTGATGCAGCATCTGGTGGTCCATTTCAATTTTATTTAGAAAGGTAAATTTAGGCAAGACACTAATTTATGGACGAGCCAATCAGAAGGGTTTTAAAGATTTCAAGGTTACGGCGCCAACTTCAGTGCTTAATGCTAACATACAATCGGTCCACAGGGAATTTTGTACAAAATGTGATAATTGAGCGGCTATAACAAATAAAACGGCGAGACTATAATTTGTGGACGAATCAATCAGGTATAAGATAATAGATCTCGGATTTTAACGCGAAAACCTTTCATCCATTTGGCTAAACAGATTTCTGGCATTATAGCTGATGTCAGTTTGTGATGAAAACCCTATATATATATATGATTTTTAACTATGGCAAATTACGACAATTATCGCGAACTGGATAATAAAAGCACTAGTAACACTGGCTGCAGCCAGGTACTACAATATATACGGATGTTTGGAGAGCGTACAGACTCCTACATAGGCTTGGTTATGTGCATTGTGTCGTTATCCACAAGTAGCATTTTGTGCACTTAACAATCGGAGTGCACATAAACAATATTGAAGCTGTGTAGTCGAGGCTGAAAGAGTTTTCGAGACTTAATCATGGCTCCGGAGGCCTACTATTTCTACTGCATGCATTGGGATTTTAGATCCTCTGAACGCCTTTCCAACCTTGACAAGTTTTTGAACCACGTATAAGAAGTTTATCCATTTTATTTCCATGGTTTTGTATCACATATTTTTACTCTATACTTTCTGTTTGCTGACTGGCTAATATTTCTCAAGGTCACTTAAGATTCGTTCTAAGTTCGTTCATAAATTAGAGTCTCGCCGTAAATTTGAAATAAATGTAAGGTATATACATGTTATATTGAAGATTGTGAATAGGTGTAATGACAAAGATTATTACTTATATTCACTTGATATTTTGTTTGCTTGAATCTTCCTATGCGAACTGTTTCGACAATGTCTTAGATTATAAGCATTAGAAGCAAAGATGAATTGTGATTAGCAGTAGAATCCAGGATGTGCGTTTCATCCTATTTGGGACTCGTCAACTAGATGTACCTACATCTTGGAGTTGATGTCTCCTCCGGCACTTGATCTCAGTACCGTTCGCTTCAAACGCCATCACGTTATCCATAAGATACAAGCAAATAATACCAAGTGAATTTAAATTTCACCTCATTGCACAAGCAGGTGGCTATCAAGACTTAGTAGCTGAGTGGATAATGCGAAGGAGTGTGAAGAGAATGGTGTTGGGTTCGAGTCCTGAAGTAGACATCAACACTGAGATGCAGGTATATCTAACTGAAAAGTCCCAAATAGGACGAAATGCGCATCCTGAATTCCACTGCTAGCCACTATCCATCTTTGTTTATAAAGATTGTTACTTGTTGATCAAGTAATGCAAACCAGTTGGTGATAATAACTGTTAGAGATATTTTCATGAGTAATTTTCTGGTTAGCGCTTTTTTAGCGAGTTAGTTTTCTACGGGATAGGGTCGTTTACCCCATGCCCAACCCTCCTCCTTTATCCGGGCTTGGGATCGACAGTAGCCCCAAAGGGGCTCTACGCGTAGCTATATTTTTATGAAAGTGCCATAATATTTAAACTTGAAGTACATTTGATTAAAAAAAGACGTTGAGAAAAGCTGGATAATATACGGTAGTAAATTGTTTCAATTTACCATAAAACTCTACATACAAAACTGAAAGTCAATCACTACGACAAAGTATTATAAAAAAAACTTTAAGGGCATTTATTTCGAGTTGAGATCATGAACCGATCAACGTTACACTATTATTAGAAATCTTAAAGCACTGATAACCGTTTCTTTTTAATATAGGGCTCCTAGACATACACCCATGTTGGGAGATGCAGACTACTCAGTTACGGTCCTCACGACGATCGTAATCAATGGTTGGAGACTGTGGGTGACATGGCTCAGAATCGATCACAATGGCGTCGGTGTATACACTCTCTGTCTTCCCTTAAACTATGAATTAAAATCGTTTCACATCTTTCTATCAACTAATTCTTTCTTCCTGTACTATATCCTTATACAAAATCTTTATTTTATATATTTCCACCTCTGAATTAACTACTTTTATGAATTCGGTGTCCATCTTGTTGTGTTAATGAAGTATGAGAACTTGGACCGGTGCATATATGTGCCTGGTCCTACATTGTAGCCGACTAAATGACTGACTGAGACTTATACCCAGGACCTTCGATTTAGCGCAAACGCTTAACCTTTAATACATTACACAATGTTATTTGTTTAAAATGATAAACTTTTGTAATTTTTACATCATACATTACCTTACCTTTTTTCTAATTTCATATGGAAACTTATTCACAGAAATGGTTTAGAAAGACAAAATCGTATACTTGGATTTTTACAAGCTATTTATGATTATTCTAGACAAAATTTAAGTTTAATGGCTAATCGTTTTACTAAACTAACAAAAATTTGGTATATTGTAAATAATTTTCTAAGATCAAATAGTCGTTGGAGTATAGGTAAGTTCTTTTTATTATTATTATTTAATACCATTGTTGATTTTAAACATTGTATTCATTCAATTCAAGTTGTACATACTACTGTTGTGGTGTGTGCTACTTATATTGACATAAGTAGTAGATGATGTTAGTCAGGAACAGAATGTCCGGCAGCAGAGAGACAATAGGATCGAATATTAAAGAACAGAAACAGAATCCAATTTGTATGAAAATCCAAGAACAATGAAGTCCGAGTCATTATGAGACAATCGATGGACATTTTGCAAATTACGTATTTACTATTTGATTGTTAGATTTTATTAACAAGTCCTGTCATTTTATGTTGAATACATTCGATTGTCCCCACTGGTGTTCTTGTTCACTAAACTGTCATTATGATTCTTAAAATACACCTTGGAAAGATTATTATCTATAACAGTTGGTCAGTCAGTTAGCCAGTCAACAACAACGTAGAACTTCGTATTTACGTACATCAGTTCAAGTTGCCTTACCACATTTGCACAGAGATACAATTATCAATTCAAATCCCATAGTGGTAGACGTAGTGAGAGTAAGGAGTAATCGTAAAAGTTAGGGTTTGAAGATGTTATTCAAGGAGTATAATCCATTGAAATAAATTTGGAAAGAGAAAAAGAAAAGGAACATGAAGAATTCGGAAGACAAGAGTTCAAGAGAACTCAAAAAATGCATGCACCTGTGCCATTTCAAATTATTTTGAGTCATGTCATTCAAGGTCTCCAACGATTGGTTGCTATTGTCTCGCAGATCCCAACCAGGTAGTCTACATCTACCAACATGCTTCAGTCCACTTTTCAGTGAATTCATGGATTTATGGCATTATTTCTAAAATGAAGTGATGAATTCATTGTTCGTTCAATATTCCATCATCTATTTCTTTAAAGCAACAGTAATGTTTGATGTAAACATTGAATTAAAAACAAATGAGTTGATAGTCATAGGTAAAGGCTTGCTGACTTACTTACTTACTTACTTATTTATTTATTTATTTATTTATTTATTTATTTATTTACGCCTATTATGGAGCATAGGCCACCGACAAGCATCCTCCAACCCACTCTGTCCTGGGCCTTCCTTTCTAGTTCCATCCAATTGTTGTTCATTTTTCTCATGTCTATCTTCATTTCTCGACGTAACGTGTTCTTTGGTCTTCCTCTTTTTCCTTTCGCACTGCGGATTCCATTTGAGGGCTCACCTTCTGACACAATTTGGTGCTCTCCTCAATATGTGTCCTATCCACTTCCAGTGCTTCTTCCTGATTTCTTCCTCCTCTGGAATCTGTTTTGTTCTCTCCCATAGTAGGTTGTTGTCGATAGTTAAGGCTATAACCACAAAAGATATTGTATAACTGTGTTGATGTAAATAATGCAATCAATAATTGTAATTTATAGCTATACTGTGAATTATAAACAGATGACAATTATTCACAAAGAACTGAATTAATGATATAAAATCAAAAGTTAATAGTTAATGAAAATAGCTAGTTGGAGAAACTATAATTTATGGATAAACCAATCAGATTTAAGATAACAGATGTTAGATTTTGGCGCGAATTTCATTCATTCATTTGGTTTAATAGCGTTTTTGGCTTTTTAACTGATGTCAGTTCTTGATGAAAACCTCAGATCTAATGCCTAACCTTAAGCATCAACTGTAAATTCTAATTCCTCACACTGGTTTATAACTCTCATTAAGTCCTAGTTAATAGGTGGATATTCTCAAGGTCATTTTGGGATCGCTTGAAGGTTGACCATAATTTATGGTTTCACCAAGTAAGTTGCTTTTATGTTTTTACGCAAAAATTCTAAAAAAACAAATGACTTTTATTCTTTACTACACAAAATGCACGACAGAAATATCATTATATAGTTCTCATAATGCTTAAAATTGTTAGACAACGTTCTTTTTGCCATCACATGGCAAAAGTGATTATTTCAATAGTTGAGATCACGAGTCAATTAAAGCTAGACCACCATGAAAAATCTGGATGCACTGGACTGCCGTTTAGTCATATTGTGGGACTCCTCAGCAGTGCGCATCCACGAACCAGTTTAGCGGGTTTCAAACTCACAACCTGTCAGTCTCGCGCGTGAGCGCTTAACCACTAGACTATTGAGTCGGCCGGCATCCAATGGTGTTAGTATTTAACTTCAACGAATACACGAAATTGAGCGACATATCCACCATTATCATCGGTGAGTTACTAACTCACAGCAGACCCGGTTGAACTCCATTGGTCACTGGCTCTCACTAGAACATCAATATATACCTCTTGAAGCCAGTCACAAGTGAGCATATGCGATAATGATAAAATTATTATATACTCACTCTTATGTATATTCAGATTTTATCAACATGTGAATGTGGTGATTAGGAGTATTTGAATTATTATACAACCAAGGAATCCCAGAAATAGTGCAATTTAACCAAGAAGAACTACATGAGCATGAACGAACGTATTCTATTTGAAATTGGAAATCATGCATTTATCAAATACATAGGAATCATTAGTTCGTACAAACACCACAGTGAATTAGTGATTGCTCCAGCTTACTTTGTTTATCGTAAACTTACAGAAAAAAAGTGTTATTAATGCTTCGATGAACAATAAGCGGGATTCTGAATTAAGTTAAGTTAACCTTGAAAGACTAATAATCTTGTTGAAGCCATCTAAATAGAACAAGTTTCACCCGATTCCGTTACAAAATATTTCCGTTTTCCACAAACTCCCTACTTATTAGCCAGAAAGTAATTTCAAAATCACTTATTTATTCTAGAAATTGCTCAATCTCATCTCTATATTGTATTCTTACCTAAATATAATTAAGATCTAAACTCACTTAGTATTATTTGTCTGTATCTTCCCATTGTTATTAAGGACTGTAACTGATCAGTCTCTTATTAGCATATGTGCATCCTGTACGAACTGTCTCAATATTGCCTTAAGTCACAAGCTTTAAAATCAAAGATGGATAGTGGCTAGCAGTGGAATTCAGGATGCACGTTTCGTTCCATTTGGGACTCATCGGTTGGATGTACCTGCATCTCGGAGTTGATGTTCACGCCGGGACTCGAGCCCAGTACCATTCACTCCGAACGCCATCGCGTTATTCACAGTTTGTCAGACTGTCAGTCAGTCACAACGTAGGGCCAGGCGCATACGTGCATCGACCCAAGTTCTCTACCACATTACCACAAACAAGATGAACAACAAATTCATAGAAGTAGTTAATTCAGTGGTGGAAATATATAAAATAAAGATTTTGTGTAAGGACATAGTACAGGAAGAAAGAATTAGTTGATAGAAAGAAAGATGTGAAACGATTCTAATCTGATAGTTTAAAGGAAGACAGAGAGTGTATACACCGACGCCATTGTGATCGATTCTGAGCCGTATCACCAAGAGTCTCCAACCATTGATTACGATCGTCGTGAGGACCGTAACCGAGTAGTCTGCATTTACCAACATGGCTCAGACTAGAAGTTATTGACTTCAAGCACCGATGTCACGTTTTGGTTTGGTATTATCCACAAGATACAAGCAAATATTACCAAATGAACTTAAACTTCACGCCATTCCACAAGCAGGTGGCTATGAGGACTCAGTAGCTAAGTGGATAACGCGATGGCGTTTCAAGTGAACGGTACTGGTTTCGAGTCTTATAAAGAGCATCAACTCTAGAGTGCAGATACACCCAACCGACGAGTCTCAAATAGGACGAAACGCACATTCTAGGTTCCAACGCTTATAATTAACATTTGTCTATCAAGATTAATTCTTACCAAAATTTCGGTAGATCAGTATCTGTAATATCTAAAACTATTAAATAAGTCATCATTGTATATTAAGTACTCGTTAAAACGTATCCTATCGTGCCAGATTAAACCCTCTTAGTTTTAACCTTTTAGTTAAAATTCACAAGGTAGCATAGATTTATTATTAGACATCTGAATATTGACTCGACTCATTAATCACACCTAAAACATTTGATATCATATATCATGAATCACTTTATTTTCTTTATTAAAATCTAATGATATCTAGTTTTCCCCTTGAAGGTATCAACAAAATACTGTTGATACTATATGCTCTGGTCAACATGGGTTGTAAAAATGAACAACCAGATGTAAACGATTTGATTTGGGCTCCTAGACTTTGTTCGACAATTGAATGATCACTGGATGGTAATCAGTTTTATGTGTATCAGGTCTTTCTTAGTACAGATCGAATTCAATCGATCAATATTTAATGTGGCCACTAGTCTAGATGAGTGGATATCGTGAGCACTATGTTACGACGTAAGATGGTAATGGGATGTAATCGACAAGAAACTTCGTTCTACTAGATTCTATCCTATCTAATTCTATACACTCGCTTACTTGTTGCTTATTGTTTCATTCTAAAGACATTTGATAAACAAATATAATGTCTGGAGTAAAAAAAGATAACATAAATGTGATTAAACATTACAGTTAAATATCTAAAAGTCAATAACTAATTGGTGACTGTTGGATTACTTACTTACACCTGTTACTCCCAATGGAGTATAAACCGCCGACCAGCATTCTTCAACCCACTGTATCCTGAGCTTTCTTTTTTAGTTCTATCCAATCGTTGTTCTAAAATATGCTTATGAATTCTTTCAATATCAAGTTCAGAACTATATAATCCGGCATTGAACTCACAAAAATATCAACACAATCATCATAGATACCATTTTCAAGTTTAATCTCAGATTAAACTTTAATGATAACTTATTAATTTTATTGCTTAATAGATATTGATTTGTCATTAGTGAAATCAATCATTGAAGTCATTCAAGCCAAAAAAGATACAACTCCAGTTCAAATATTCGACACAGTGAAAAATATTTGTTTAAATGAAATCTATCCATTTTGGATTGAATATATGAAATCTGATGCTTTTCAATTTGTTTAGTAAGTATTTTAGTATGAACAAAGTGGGTAGTTTTATGTATTTGTCTATTTAAATTAACTACTAATTGTTTGCTTTATGAAAGATCTATCTGCTACACTGTTGTCCATGATTCAAGATTTGAAAGAAGTTATTTTACTTGGTCCGATAAATTGATGGTAATGTTTGAGATATTAGCAGTGTATAATACATAGACTGAATTTCCAAGATTGGGTCAATTCGCTCAAGGTTGTTAACGTATGCCAGTAAGTGAAAAATTAAGCCAATAAAAGATCAGTCAAGTTATAAGTACTTGTGATTAACTAAGAAATGGCTTGCATATCCTAAATGTGAGACAAACATTATTGTTGGGTTAGTTGTCTTAGAGATAAACATTTTCACTCAAGTTTAGCGTACATACAACCGGATCTGGTTAATTAGTAAAAGCTTCCTTTTCACTAGAGTAGTTGGTTGGGGTAGTTTATAAGAAACTTCTCTCACATTCCCTGTTAAAGCCGAAGTTTGTGAGAGTTCGCTTTCCCCATCGAAATGCTCTCACATGGCCACGTTCATACAAGCACTGCCAGGGAAGTCCTGATCACTGCCTTCTCGCAGCATTACTATTGTTAAAGAAATTGAGAGGAAGAAAAGCGAATGTCCGGCGCTTTAACTGGGTTGGTTGACGGATATGGAGAATCCACTTAGGAGAGTTGGAAAACCATGATTCCAAAACAATCGTGCACATGGGCTTCAGTATCCTGAAGAAACAAATGGCATATGAACCTATTGTTAGCCACCGGTTACCATGGGACTGCATCTCCTAACGCTGCTTCACTGTCTTGTGGAATAGACCTCTAGGTCAAAGGCTCGGCGTGTAGCTCTCTAAAGAAACCACCTGTTTCGGTTTGGGCACCCGGGAAGTATTTTAGACCTCACACAAATTGACTGAGTTGTGTGGAGCATATATATTTGGTACCTCCTTGTACCTATGTTTATGTGTTTAAATAAACAAATGAAAATCCCTATCACTATCAGACTTGGACATCATACAGAAAGCCAAATCGATTTCTACACGCCAGTAATGAACAGATGGAGATAAAAACTCCATGTAACTAGGTATCAATCGAGCCAAACATCATAGCTTCTTGATATTTTGATTTTAAATATTTGGTTGCACTCAATAGAAAGTACACTCACAAATAATAGATCATCACTATTCTGGAAAGTGAGATAAACTAATCGGGGATTCATCATTGTAGTGCAAGTAACATGAAGAAAATACTTAGAAGAAAATAACTACTACCGTAAAGTCTAGATTGCATATATTTGAGAGTAAATCACTGATATATTCCAACAACGTCAGAGAACTTCGCAGTGTTTCAGAGATTCAAACCAATAAGTATTTTATCCTCTCAGTTAATGATGTTATCACTGTATGGTTCTAAGTTTCCATTTAGTCAAAGGAATGTACTGCTTATCTAATTTAGATTGCTTTTGAAACATTTAAATAATTTTTATTCGTCATATCAAAGACTTACAAACTTACAATCATTGATCATGTTACTAAATATATCCGACATTTCAGTGATAAAGATGTTTAATTATTGTGTAAACAAGGTAACATTCCCATTCACTTCTTGCTAAACTTCGATTATCTTTGAAAGTTACTTTAGTAACAATCTTACGATTAACTTTGATAACAGTTAATCCCTGTCAAACCCTTTCATCTGACAATGTTGTCAACATAGTTACAATTCGTCGGTGTAGACAACCGTAACTGAGGGACGATCCCCCCCAACTATCCATAATAACGGCATCAGCTAGCGTTACATCTTCAAATAGCAGTGATGTTGTGGCATCGGATCTCAGCTTGTTTAATTTGCTGTCCATTGTTTGCAAACTCGTCAAACCATGGTAATAGATTCCGAAATCAAATAAGAACCTTCAGATGAGTATTGGATTATCCAGATATCTGAAAATGACGTTTTATTCAGTAGATCTCCGAAGTATTTTCTCCAGCCAGATACTCATTCAAGGAAGTGTCAGGGATAGACTGTCTATCTGAGCCACCTCAGAGTGCGTCTTCCAGTTTATTTGCTCTTGTGGAGCAGGTTATATTAACCTTACAAGGCAAGGATTTGGTAAAAGAATATCTGAGCACTACCTTGCATGGTTATCTAAAGGGAAATAAAACTCGATCAGCAGCTCAGTTCTTGAACACATTTCCAATTCGAATCACATCCCACTACATGAATCATCATCCAAACTCCTTACAATATAAAAAGAACTGTCTCAAAAAGGTTTTAGATGAGGAATTTATGAGCAATCGAGGCTTTAGTAATTCACCATTTCAAACTTAAACTCTGAGTACAGAAGAGTCATTTTCAATTTCTTATTCTCTCATAATCTTAGCACTCCGTTGAATTTTATAAATTGTAAATGCTAATTCTTACCTTTTTGCTCTCCTTTATTTAAGTAGACAGTTATCTTTAGCATTTATTAATCCGACCGACAAATGATGTAACAATCAGTTCTTTGTATTTTTAATCTGAGTTGGACAGTTCCCGCTAATATATTCAAATGACTCTTTTTTCTATAATTAAGCCATCTAAAATGGTTTAGCTCTTATGGCTTATGTGTGTTTTTATGCAAGGATGATATCTGAATTAAGAGTAAAACCAGAACTAAGCAACTAAATAAGTTTCACTGATTGAAATCACGAGTTAATTGAAGCTAGACCACCATGGAAAACCTGGAAGCACTGGACGGCCGTTTCGTCCTGTTGTGGGACTCCTCAGCAATGCGCATCCACGATCCCGCACCCCGTGAGATTCAAACTCAGGACCTATCAGTCTCGCGCCAGGCGCTTAACCAACTAGATCCCTTCTGATAACTAAATAAGTATCAAATTTGATATGTTATTATCAAGAATTTTGAATTAGTTCATCGGTGATAACCCAGAACTGAATTTAAGTTAGTACTTGTCGGTACTTGTACATCTTATAAGTATTACCTCGATATCGTATTTTTTGTTCAATGTCTTATAGAATAGATGGATTGTAACTAGCAGTGGAATTCAGAATAATGGAATTCATGCCATATTCGAGGCCATTCACAAATGATGCATTTCAGTCAAAAAAAGACTGACTAAAATTCTGTCGTGAAAATCAACATTGAACTAATTCCAACATGTAGTAATGATAATTTCATCATCATACACTTTGAAAAGGTTCGTACTTATCTAGATTCAGTAACTCAATGGATAATGTGTTGACGTTTGAAACGAAATTTGCTGGGTTTTATCTCCAATGTGAATATCAGCATTCGGATTCACGCACATCCAAATGACGAGTCCCAGTGAGAATGAAACGCGAGTCCTGGGCTTCACTGCTTGTCAGAATCCTCCTATTATATACAACCAATAACTTGGTTGATCATTATAAAAACAATTACTACTTACTTATATGTATATATACATTGAATCCATACTTCAACCAGTCAGCTACAACGTAGGACTAGGTACATATGTGCATCGACCTAAGTTGCCATACCTCATTAACACAATAGTATGAACTCCAGATTCATAGAAGTAGTTAATTCAGTAAAATAAAGATCTTGTATAAGGACATAGTACAGGAAGAAAGAATTAGTTGATAGAAAGAAAGATGTGAGACGATTTTAATCTGATAGTTTAAAGGAAGACAGAGAGTGTATACACCGACGCCATTGTGATCGATTCTGAGCCATGTCACCCACAGTTTCCACTCATTAATTACGATAGTCGTGAGGACCTCAACCGAGTAGTCTGCATTTACCAACATGGCTCAGACTAAATGTTAGTGACTTCAAGCACTGATGCCACGTTTTGTTTTAGCCGCCCCTAACTTTCTACCAACCGTTCCCAACGCTAGTCAGCGCACCATACTTGATATTTAATGATTAAAAACAAAATTACAGAACATCACAGTAAATCTGAGAACCATACAGTAAATAATTCATTTGCAAAATGTTGATCAATCGTCTCGGGCTTCATTGTTCTTTCGTTTCCATACCAATTATTCTTTGTTCTCCTTCTCTTTTCTTTGATCTTCTTAACCATTTACCTCCAGGTATTTCACTTTCGATTGATGATACATACTACTTATATCTGTCGAAATCCGGAGCACACAGTACAATGATACTTTACTGGAAATTTTATGAACGATTATTGATTGTTTTCTATATATTTTTTTGTTTTTTTTTTTGTAAAATTTCAGTGCTTCACATAAAAGCAAAAATGAAGATTATATGATGCCTAAATCATCGAATGATTTTGATGTACTGTTAGATGAGAATTCTAACTTGATAGTACAACGTAAACCAATAGAAATGTAAGATGATAGATACCTATCAAAATATATTGTAGACGGTATTCGTCATGGATTTGAAGTGATATTCAATGATACCTACAGAATAAAGTAATCTCAACAAAACAATACATTTAAAACATTAGTTACTCATTCACTAATGATTTGCCATGATAATTGAACAAAAACTGATATGACTCAATGTAAAGAACATAGTATAAAGACTTCAGATGGAGATGTAGGATATAATAAAGATGCCTGAATACATTGGTTTTGATTTGTTTTATTAGCATGGATCAATGGTTAGATTATAATCAATTGAATTATGTAACACTTGACACTAAGTAGTCAGTAGCCTAATCCATAAACATAAGATACATTATCATAGGATTATACTACTTTAACCAATAAATTAGTCGATTCACTGAGTTATATGATAAATCCCTCATAACAATCAGTTAATGATGAGTATTTGAAGTTCTACAATTAAGTCGTAACCAGTGGAACTTAGTGTAATAAGTAATACTGACGTTACCAATAAGTTTTAACGATCACCACGTCATATCAGAAATTGACTAAAATTGAAAACTTGTGCTATTAGACTTCAACTCAATGGTTCTAAATTAAGTAAATAAATAATGTGTGGGATTTTTATTTTGTCTTAAGTGTAACTTCTCGTTCGAGTTATTAACTATCATATTATAATGAACGAGAACATAAGTGGAGACAATCGATTGTACATGCAGTCAATACTTACTTACTTACTTACGCCTGTTATTCCCAATAGAACATAGGCCACCGATAAGCATTCTCCGACCCTCTCCGACCTGGGCCTTCCTTTCTAGTTCGATCCAATTGCTGTTCATTCTTCTCATGTCTATCTCCATTTCTCAGCGTAATGTGTTCTTTCGTCTTCCTCTCCTCCTTTGGCCTTTAAGATTCCAAGTGAGAGCTTGTCTT